TCAAGGACAAGCTTAGGCAGTGGTCTAATAGAAAGCTAAGCTTCGGTGGTAGGCTGCAGCTCATAAAAGCAGTTTTGTTCAGCATTTTTAATTACTGGAGCAGGCAACTCATTTTGCCTAAGGGAATCATTCAGGATATAGAAAAGACTTGTATGAGATTCTTTTGGAAGGGTTGTGACTCCTCTGCTCGAGGTGCAAGGGTTTGTTGGAGCCAGATTTGCACTACTAAGTCTGAGGGTGGCTTGGGAGTGAAGAGCCTAGTTGGGTGGAATAAAACTTGATGCCTGATGCTAATTAAAAACATTCTAGCAGATGCTGGATCTCTTTGGATTCCTGGATTAAGGCATATTGTCTTAAGGGTGAGGATTACTAGAACATTGACATCAGACCTCACTTCAGTTGGACTCTCAGAACTAATCAAGTTGCGTGAGGAGGCGAGAGGGTTATTTACTGCTTCAGTTTGTTGGTCACAAGTAAATGAGAGCTGGATTTGGGACAAGATCAGGGAAAAGAGAAGCAAAGTGGCCTGGCACCGTATCATCTGGCTCCCTGCCCATATTCCAAGTTCTCGTTGATTACGCGGATGTCAATTCTTGATAGGTTGCCTACTAAGGAGAGGCTGAGCAGATTTGGCATGGTGACTGATGTTAACTGTGTATTTTGTGGTGCTGAGCAGGAATCCAACACATATTTTCTTGGACTGCTCCTACTCGAAGGAGGTCTGGAACACTATTATGCAGCTTTGTGGACTGCAAAAATGATGGCTGAACTGGGATGATTTGCTTTGCTGGTTGGTACGAAATTTAAAAGGTAGATCCCTACTTGTTCAGATTCTCAAACTAGCTTGGACTGTTTCATTTACTACATATGGGAGGAGCGTAATCGCAGAATTTTTAGAAGTGTGATGCGTTCGGCTGATTCTATTGTCAATATTATTAAAGAGGCTGTCATAATTAAAGCGTATAGATATAGTATGAATAGACAAGACAATGTAAATAGGCAGTTGTACATTGATTGGGGCATGCTATAACTGTTTCATGATTTTTCTGTAGCAGCTTGCTGCTTCTTTGGATGAATATAAATTGATTATCCAAAAAAAAAATTATAACATATATTTTATGTAACTTATTTTTTGTACATACACTCTATTGACACAATTGTTTAAATTTAGGACATATAAAAAGAACAATACTCTTTTAATCTTTAAAGTCCTTAATAAATTCTTAATTAAAATATAATTCACAAAATTCTTATTTATAATCTAAAATGTCTTTTAGTGTAATTTTTTTTTTATAATCATTTAAATGAAATTTTTTTATAAACAAACCATACTATAAAAAGAGCTTACACATTCAAAATAAATTTATAAATTATAAGTGAAAGACAAAATAGTAAAAGGGTCCCCAACATTCTTTTTCAATTGTGTTATCTTTAAGATTTAACATGTCACGTAAATAAAAATTGATCATTAATTAATCATCAATTAACTATTCAAAAAAATTTATTCAAAAAAAAATATTTATATTTTTTATTAGTTTAAAGTAAATATAAAATAGTATATACTCTAAAAACTCTTGTCCATCTATTATAATCGTCATGCTCAAATTAAAAGTTCAAGGGATAACAATAATGCCACAATTTAAAAATATAAACGTTGAATAAAAATCAATAAATTTTAGAATAATAATAAATGTACAGTAGATAATAATAAATTATTAGTAATAGATAACTTGTTAGGTTAGAAAGCAAATTCCAAGGGATTAATTGGAGAGACTATTAGACTAGATTGCAGTCGAGAATAGTTTAAGATTCCATGGTTGATTTAGAGAGAGGAACCATCTGACATAGGCCACCTGGCTTGTATGTTTCATTTTGCTTAGTTTCCTGTAATAACACGTATAAAATTTATCATAACCTTATTTATTCCTGTAATCAAAGGATCTCAGTTAAAAACAAGCTTTATCTACAATTGACGTGCTTATTATCTTCTTCGACAAACCGACCCATGCACATAGATAACAACACACCACAAAAACTTCATTAGGTTATGAGTAAAAGATGTAAAGAACTCATACAACATTATATCTAAGTTCAATAATTCCCACATGGTAGTGTAAACCTCCCTCGCAGATACGTGAATACAAAAGCTGCTAGTAAAACACGGTCATCAGCTGGTTATGTGTAAAAAAATATTAAGGAAAGTTGTTAGGTAACGCATGCTTGAACCTTGACATAATAAAAAACAAAGACAGAAACATAAGGAATATACTTGCATACGTTTGTATTTTAAACTTACCATTTGCTTGTTTATTTTTTGGGGGAGGGGGTGACCCTGTGGGGTTGATATTTGAATGAGGTTCTTTTATGGAATCTTAGGGTCACAAATAGGAAGGAGTAAGGCTGTCGGAGCATGACCTAACTAGGGTTAGTAATAATAGCATTGGCATCCAACTAACCGAAGATAGATCATGCTGGAAGCTTCACTTTTTCCCTTGTAGACTTCTCCTTCCAGACTTGCATTATCACCGATGATCAACTGAGTATTTTAAAATATTTTAAATGCATGAACTAAGAATATATAGAAAATTTTGCAGGATATTCTTCAATCTTTATGATTACTAAAAGGGTTGAAATTTAGAATAGAGTTGGAAAACAACATGAACCAAGATCATATGTACATAGCAGACTGCTAGCAGAGATGGAAGACGTATTTCAAAAATCTTCAAAGCTTATTGATATGACAATGTAGGATTCATGAAATGATCCATAACAGCGTATTGAAAAACAAAGCTTATTTGGATGAGATGCCGAAGAATACCCAGCAGGCAGAAATGGGAGATAACTAAGTTAAGGGGGAAAAGGGAGCAACCCATTCTTTCTTATGGAGAAAGTAAGCAAAAAAGCCTAAAGAAAGATGATGATGCAGCTGCAGATTATGCAATTATTTATAAGAGTTGAAGACTGGGGGGGATTTTGACGCTAACAAAAAAAATAGATAGATCTCGAACCACTTAGAGGTTCATGAAGACAGCTAATAGATAGAGGGAGTAAAGAGAGAAAAGCTAACCAGAAGGGCTATGGACATAGATGTATCATAAGAGGCTAACGGGTGGTAATATAGGGGCAGAAGTGGACTGCAAAATGCAATTACTGAGATCATTTCAAAAACTAAATACTATTATTAACTCATCTCTCCTTTTAGAATTTCAATGTGTTAACAACGTAATGGTTGGGCTGTTGGTTTTTGCTTCTCTTGCTCTGACTTCTTCAGTGCATGCTCAATCTTTGGAGTATTCATTCAAGGCTTCCCTAAGTTCTACCAAGACCTACACCCTATTCAGTGTACCATTGAGTTGCTAGATTTTTATTTCCTTCTTGCAGTGACCAAAATTGTTACTATTATATAAATTAGTAGAATATGTTATATACTCTAACTAAAATTAAAATCAAATTAATATAAAATAACAAGGATCAAAAGTGTTATTATAAAAATTTGGTTAACTATCATGTCAACAATTCAATTAACTTAATTAAATTAAAAATTGAATGACTTGATTAATAAAATTTCTAGTTTAATGATCAAAATAGAATATAAAATTTGTTTAATGACCTATTTTAATGATGATTTAAATGTTTATCTTTAGAACTCCACATTGGTACTTTCTGTATTTTCCTTTGTCCCTATTATAAAACACCCAAACCCTAAAAGGAGGGTTGTTTTGGATGGAATGATAATGTTAAAAGTTTGTATATATTGCTTTGCTTACCACAACAAAGATGATCGCTTAGAAGAATGATAAGCTTATTTTTTTTTAAAATGCTTTGGGGAGTGGTAAAGGCAAGGGGCTAGTTTGTTATATATAGCCTTTATGCTCTTAAGTCTCTCAACCTTTTTTCTAATACCCCACAACTAATATGATTGATCAATTGACTATTTGATTAACCAACTCTCACAAGCTTGTGAAAAACCAGGCATTTTAGAAAGTTTGTTTGAATGATCGTCTAAAAGCAAACTCATGTACTAATGCACTATATGTACATGTGCGTTTCTCTTTTTTAAAAATACATAAATAAATAAACCTTCAAAACCCTTAGTTTTAAGTAATCGTCTAGTTCTAATTATATGTAAAATCGAATTATGTACAAAGTTCTTCCAACGTTATTATTTTTGTCTCCAAGAGTCGAATATGAGGTCTTATTTAAGGGCATCAAACTCCTTATCATCCACTCTAACAAGAATCTGTTGTTCGTATGTATTGTTTTTTACTTGTTTAACAATCTTCATACGTTCGGCTTAGATTAAGCATCATGTGAAGTTCTGAATATGATTAATTAAAGGTATTTTTTGTTGCACAATGGCCATTGATATGCCGATTGAAAATCTTGGATTGGGTGTTCGGAGGCAAACCCCCCAGGGGGAATTTGGAAGGTCACTCTTATTTGCATTTTGCACACGCATCATGATGAGAATCGTATAATTCCACTCAATTAAATTTTAGTTATTTTGATAATATTATTTGAATTTAGAATACCCTGTAAACACTGACGATTCTATATTGAAGGATACATACTATAATAATTTTGCACATGTTAATCACTCTATTTCATAATGTTAATAATAGATTGAGATTGATAAGAATGCTAATTTAAGTTCTTAGTTATATATATATATATATATATAGGGCTAGGATCCAATTTCTTAGTGTAAAACTTTTTAGTTTTATACTTTTTTTTAAGATCGTTGGATTTGAAAAATTAAAAGCTAAAATTAATAGTAAAAAATGAAAAAAATACACCGGGAAAAACAAGAATTGATCTTAACCTTTAATTTTCTCTCTTCCAACGATCTTAATATATATATATATATATATATATGGAAACATGATATAAATCTATAATTAGTCAAACATGATTACTTAAAAGTAATCATGTGTGCCAAGATGCATAATAAAAGTAGTGAAATAATTAGACCTGATATTAGTGCAGGTGACACATAATAATGAACATAAAACGGCTCGTTTGTTTCCAATTTCGTAAGGAGGATTGTTAAACGACTTGAAAACCCCGGATATGCTTTAAAATGACCGTGGGACACCTACTTGTTTCTCTTTCAGCTACCACATGATCATAAAAGCAGACAGCAACACTGACTAAACTAGATTCCTCATTTAGCTAAGTAATAATAATGGCCGCAACCGATCAAACAAGTTAACTATAATGTTACAAACTCTTACGTCTCCATGCCTAGCCCTTTACCCGCCAATTCATGGCTCTGATCAAACCTCATATTTTGAATGCATCTGCACCGAGGCAATCACACTTCAGTTATATCATAGTAATATGAAAATTTGAAATTATCATTAGATGAAATGCAATGAGATACTAGCTAGCCTAGAAACAGCAGTGTATTATTGTGCCAGCTATCACGACCTGGCCTTGTCGGACGCCCTTGTTCTTCTGCATAATCTAGAATTATTCTCTTTAAATATATCCCAAAGTCCGTCTATGTTTTGCCACTCTTAGATATGCCTCCACATATTCAAACCCACGTCCTCGCACACAAAAGAGTACACTCTATAGATCAGGATTTTAAATAGCGTTCGCGGTCACGTTTTCGGTCGCATCGCTTTTATCACGGTTGCAGATACTAGGATTGTAAATGAGACAAGACATATCGCAAGCTACTCGAGATCGACTCGGTCAAGGCTCGATAAATACTCAGATCGAATGGACTCGACTCGAATTCTTAACGAGCTGAAACGAGCTACTTAATACTCGACTCGAAAATCTCGTAAGCAACTCGAAAATATAATATATTAAAAATTTATTTTTTAAAAAATAAATTATTAATAATATTAATATTTATGTGTTGATTTTTTTTTTAAATACAATAAGATTTTCATGTATTTAAGATTCAGGTTCGAGTTTGATGATTCAATCTTGTTAAGCTTAAAAATTTTAAGCTCGCGAGTTTTCGAGTCGAGTCGAGCTTCATTTTAGAGTTTTCGAGTCTAGTCGAGCTCAGCAATACTCGAGCTCGACTCGGCTCGTTTACACCCCTAGCAGATACAACTGATGTTATTGTGATCATTGCGATATCGCGATCGTGAATTTTTTCGAAGGAGCTGAATTTTTTAATAAAAAAACTTTTTAAAAAAAATTAAAATAGAGGAATAATAGCGGAATAGCGGTCCGTTATTGCTGCGATTGGCCGTGATCCGCCGCGATCGGTGTGATCCCGCCACACCGTTATTTTCTGCGATAGCGGTTTCGGACACCGCGACCGCGATATAACGACCACGACACCGCTATTCAGCTGCTATTTGAAACCCTACTATAGATCAGTCGGTATCATTCTACAAAGTGCACTCCTTTGTGTATGGAGCCGTGACCTCAAATATGAGAAAGTGCACCAAAGGTTGCAAAACCTTGAGGGATCTTTGGGTACCTACATGCTAAGTTTGATTCGTACCCTGACAAGGGCACCAGCTGACAGATCTATATTTGAAACCTTTGGTGCATAATGCAAAACAGTTCAGGCCAGTTTAAATCTTTGGTGCACTGAGGGATCTTCGACTGTTTAAATCGATACATTTCAGCATATCATCAGTTCAGGCCATTTGAAATATGTTTAATCAGCGGGGAAGTTCACATATCACTGAACTAGTGTAACTGGTTTAAGACATGAGTATCAAATTTGTCCTGGTTTTCCTAGGTTCAAACCCTATTATTATTGCATAAAGGCAAGAAAAACGTACATGAGATAATTCACCGTCACCTTTTCCATCAGGAGTAAGAAGTCCAGCAACCTTTGCAACATTTTCAATGGAGCCGCACTCAAGAGGAGTGTGAGGTGCTTCCGCATGGGGAGAAAAGCATGGTTCACTTTGTTTCAACTGCTCACTTGAAAACTGATCTCCCAATTGATTTAAGTAGATGTCAAAGGTAGGAGATGAAGAAGTTGCCAACTTTCTCTTGTTCTTAAACCTTCAACTAACAGGGTAATGAGAAACATACACGAAAGCAAACTAGATTGTATGACATATTTGGCATGGAAGCTACCTGTCTTTCTTCTTCTCAAGATATCTTTGCACCAATGCTTTTTCTGCTAGTAGGTCCTCTGAAGCAAGTTAAAATAATATTTAGAACAAATAAAGGGAGAAAGAAGTCGATATCATCATAGCATAACACCATCTTGCATATTGCGCAAAACCATAATCTATTACTGGTTTCTTTCACTCATTGATAATTACATCATCAATTACCTTAATAATTAGTAACAAAATATCCCTTTTATTCCTACCATTTCCGCATGGGGAGAAAAGCATGGTTCACTTTGTTTCAACTGCTCACTTGAAAACTGATCTCCCAATTGATTTAAGTAGATGTCAAAGGTAGGAGATGAAGAAGTTGCCAACTTTCTCTTGTTCTTAAACCTTCAACTAACAGGGTAATGAGAAACGTACACGAAAGCAAACTAAATTGTATGACATATTTGGCATGGAAGCTACCTGTCTTTCTTCTTCTCAAGATATCTTTGCACCAATGCTTTTCTGCTAGTAGGTCCTTCTGGAAGCAAGTTAAAATAATATTTAGAACAAATAAAGGGAGAAAGAAAGTCGATATCATCATAGCATAAAAGACACCATCTTGCATATTGCGCAAAAACCATAATCTATTACTGGTTTCTTTTCACTCATTGATAATTACATCAATCAATTACCTTAATAATTAGTAACAAAATATCCTTTTATTCCTACCATGAAAGTATATCAGTTTTATCACACTATTGTTTACACACAACAATTTAATCAACATCCAAAAACTTGAAAAATCCAATAACTTCTTGAATGAAAAATGGTCCTGACATGAGCCGGAAAAACTATTCCCAGATTAGAAAAACAGCACAAGAAAGTAAAACTCTGCTTCTGCTGTTTGCCTAACTTAAATTACAATGTGATATCAGCAGCTGAATATGTGATAAGGAATATGGAGAGGAGGGGGTTGAAGCACCTAAAGGCTGGCTCTACTGTATTAAAATCAATCGAAGATGATAAGTAAAGGCAAAACAGTGCTGATAAGCATAAAAATACAAAAACAAGGGCAAGTAAGTTCTTCAAGAATGCATTGCACTCTTCTCGAGGAAACTGACAGTTTTTCTGCTAAATTTACTGGAAAGAAAATGAACGTGGCATGCTAATAATCAGTATAGAACTATCATGCTATATAAGCACTGTATCATACCAGTTTTTTAAACAAGCTAGTACATTTACCCTTTATAGATTCTACTGACATATACCAAGGTACATTTGCCCTTTACAGCTCTGGTCACAAACTACATATGACTTAGAAGAAATGAGCAAAGTTAAAGGCACCTAAACCAACCCAAAAGCCTACCTGTTTGCTGAAGGCAATATAACCATCGGCGAGCATGGGCTTGTTTTGACACTTGCAGCCTGCGAATGGCAAGGAATGGACCATGGTGTGGTCCGCTGATCAGCTAGAATTTCATGCGGAAGTGACACTGGGCTAGCTGCAAGTTGCAAGATTGCTTCAGCCTGCAAAACAATTGTATGATAGACTTATAGCGAGATACCATAAATATCTGAACGTGAAGAGAGTGGAAGATATGACCTTACAACTACTATCATCATAGACATTCACTTTCCCACAGTAAAGATGGTCATCTGTCCTGCTGACTCTTTTGCTGCTGCACCTGCAGTTCTGGACAGTTGGAAAATTCACCCTTAGAACTTCAATTGGCACCATCAACCAAGGCAAACCAGTAATATGATATTCCTTAAAAGAATGCTCAAGATAAGTCTATGTCAAGGCCCAGAAATTCAATCAAAACAAGTCGCTCTAAAATCTTTCAGGACTGTCCTGCTTACTGCACTATGACCTCAGTATTTTAAAATAAAAAATAATCTGCACCAAACCATAAGATATATATTTTAATTAAAAATCTACATGCATTAGGCTGGTTATAGAAGTAAGAAGTCATGGAGTTACCCGTAAAGCAATAAGTGCAATCCACTCAAATATTTCACTACAGAAGTCAGAAGTGACAGAACATTGACAGACACCACCTTCTGTGAGATCCGTAATCTAAACCCATTCGATCAAGTGGTATCTTGATACTTGGGAAGAGGTAATGATTCTTAGAAAAACTTTATGAAGTCAGATATGTGACCACAAAATCAGCAATACCGGCAAATCTATTAACTGCATATCTAGGAGATAGAGCTTTGATCAAGTATATAGTCCTACAAGCCAAATTCATGAAAGCAAAGACGGGTAAGCACATTTCAGCTGCCTTTTGCCCCTTTCATATAACAAATCTGAAACCAGAAGCCATGCTAATTATAAAAGGACTAAAAAAGGGCAGAAATGTGACTACAGCTGTACAAGACTTAACTATTGGATATTCCTGAAGAAGTATTTAGTACCTCTACATTGGTATCCATCAAGAAAACCATCAACAAGTAACACCACATTACTCCAACTAACCAAATGTTCAACTAACGTTTAGATAGTTTTAACTAGCATAAGTAGGAGTTGACTCTAAAGGACCCTCCAGATCACAAGTCTAATAGTGGAAGGAAAAAAGGAAAATAAAAACTTATAATTAGCATGCCGTCATCGTTGACTAGAAGATCTGGTCTTAATTGCAAGCACAAATTCGACCTTGGAAATTATGGAGTGCCACACAGACACCCGGGAACATGTGCGAAATTCACATTCCGTTCACACTGAAACGCTAATTTAACCATTGGGCATCGACTCTAGCAACCGTCAATCACGAACAAGCTTGACCAACATTATGTTGGATCAAACTTCCTAAAGAATAGGCGAATTAAATGACCTCAACCTCATTGAAGTACGGTAATTCAGAAATAAAGCAATCAAGAAGAGAACCTTGGAGAAACGGAATCATTTCTGGCGGCGACAGTTCGACCGGAGTTATCACCGGAAAATTCAGATTTCGAGGGATTTGGACGGGAACAAGAAATGGATTGGTTGGCTGGAGCCAAGATCACGTTGTGCGGTGTCATTTCGTTCGGTAGAACGGTTGAATCAGAAACGACCTGCGAAAATTTTATTTAATTAGATTAGTTTGACCAAGAGAGAAAAGTTTCTAAACTATGTCTACTAACCAAGTAAAATTACCCGTGCCTTGGAATTTGAAATAAATAACATAAAACAAGACTAATTTATTAGGGGGGGAAAAGAAATGCACGCACGCGAGGCGGGTACTCGGGGCAGGTAGTGTAAAGTTTCTTCCGAGCATCATCGGTGGCGTCGGAATCTGACGTCGTTTCGAGAAGATTTTTCAGCGAGATCACCTGCTGAATCGCCTGCGATTTGTTCCACGACGGTCTCCGCATTCCTACAAGCACAACAAGCCAAAATAACAAAATTTAAATCAAAACATGCAAACACTTTTACACTAAAAACACAAAACATACACAAATAAAAGGGAGAAAAAAAGATGCAGAGAGAGAGAGTTAAACCTTTCTCTTTGAGGTAACGGCGGCAATCTTCGCGAGTGACCTGAGAAATGTCATCCTCGGTAAGCTGGTTGAGAGGCTTATCTAGAGGTGACCGGGAAACCGTTTCTCCCGGTGACATGGCGTCCAATTTCCGGTTATCAGGAACCAGCAGCCGTCGGAGCTCTAATTTCTTCGCAGCAAGATCATCAACGAAAGAAAAGGGGCTGAGGGAAGGGATTTTTTTGTACTCTCTCCACTGATTTCAGTTACTAATATCGTAAATTGGGAAGTGCTCCAGGGTCTTTTTGACTTTTCATTATGAAGCCTAAGAGAAAGTATGAATTTGAGACAAGCTTAGGTCTCCGCTCTGATGTCCTCTCAGCTCCACCTTTTTCTCTATAAATTATTATATGCTTTCTTTTCTATTTTCATTTATTTATATCATGATTTATAAAATTGTTATTGCCACCCCGGGACGCCACGTAACCTCTCAGTTTTATCCAGATTATCATAACAACTTCAATTTGTTTAAATATATATTGAATTTAAGATTTAATGTATACAAACTTTTTTTATTGAAATATTCATTTAATAAAAATATTCGTGAGATACAAATTGATCTAAATTAATTAAGATAAAATTTAAGAAACTGAGAAGGTAACATAAATATATATATATACACATGACTGTTGGTAAACAAAAGTCAACACTATTTCTCCTAAAATTTCAATCAATAATCACAAAATTTCCAATTAGTGAATTTGGATTATTAACAAAGAATTTGACGTTTATTAATGAAATTGCGAGTTTAATTTTTTTATGAAAATTAATAATGAAATAATTTTATTTCTTATTTAAGAGTTTAATTTAAAGATAATAATTGAGCTATATGAAAACAGCTATGGTGAAATTTAATAAAAATTGTCCGGAGTCAAGTTGGATTAGTTTAATAAGATTTTTAATTGATCTAACTTTAATTTGAGTATAACATTTTTTTTATTTTGTAATTCGATCTGATTCAAATTTAAGAAAATTTTATTCAACTTGAAATTTGATTTGACTTTCAAGGTTAAAATTGTATATCATCCTATATAATATACATGCATATATAAAATTTTCTTTTTTTATTAGATAAAATAGGGATCTAATTGAAAATATATAAATAGAAGGATGTTATAATATTTTTAAAAATATTTAATGATCAATTATACTAATATTTTTGCATCGATTTGGGTTGGATGTTTTCACTCTAAACCCGAGTCAATCTTATCTTTAAAAAAACTTGATCTGACTCAATCCAAACTCAATTTAAAAAAAACAATTGACTCTATAAAATTAAGCTAAAACGTTTTAAATTCACATCAAATACTCATCTCATACCCATCCCTATAATTGTTGTTGTTCATTGAGATATGGATTCAAGCACCATAAATATACGAGTTGTGAGTGTTTAATGTTAAATAATTAGAAGTTATATTTGAACAGATAATGCCTTATACTTAACCTAATTTAATAAAAAAACATATAAATGTGTTGTCTTAAAAATCATCGCTATCTTTATAAATGTTAAATCCCTGGTTCTAATTAGTTTTATGTTAATTATTTTTAATATTATAATTGCAACCCACAAGTATAGTTATTTATAAATTATTTAAATATAACAAAAAAATTATAATTAACTAATCATAAAAGAATTTAGGATTTTTATGGTCTATTTTTACTTTTTTACTTTTTTCATAATTATGTTTATATAATAAGAGTTAATTGCATTGGAGGTATTCAAATTATGACTAACATTTTAAGTTGGTCATTAAGCTTTAAAATATTTTATATTGGTCCCTATATTATAAAATTTTATTCTAAATTGTTTCCTTAGCTTTAAACATTTCATATCAGTTTTCAAACTATCAATATCATTTTCCTTTAATCATCTAATTAACGTGTTGTTAATTATACTAATTTTAGAAGATCATGAAAATTGAAATCATGACCTAAAAAATTAATATGTTTAGAATGTTTTGAAAAATAAAATATCAATGGTTCGATTTATATGACCATAAAAAATAGATCAAAATTTGTAATTAATAGAGTCAATGGTGCGTTAATAAAAAATTAAAAAATATTATTAATATAAAAATATTTTGAAATTTAAAGATTATATTTTAATAATATATATATAATTATCTCGTACAATAATGAAATTGTAATTGTTGCATAATGAACAAGTAAGATTAAGATAAGCAATTAGCACAATCAATTTATATTTATTATTAAAAAAATACCTTAATCTAAATTCACTTTTAACAGAATAGAATGCAAAATAAGAATAAAAAAAAGTTGAGGGGCGGGGAGTGGAATCACGTGATGGGGATGCCAAAAAAATGTGGTACGGATAATAAAGTGTGAGGAGCCAAAGGAGGGCACGATATAAGCGAGGATGATGTGCCAACCCTGTACCACCACCTGTCAAACGACCCACGTGTCCAGTTACCCAAAGCAGAGGACCACGTCCTTTGTGTGCAAACCCCACTTTCACTATTTAATCCCCCCCGCCAACTACCACTGCCCGCTACAGCCCTATCCCTGCAAGGGCCACTGGCCCACTTATCCGCTGTGTGAGACGACCACGTTTCATCTTCTTTTTCAATCATTTATATTTGGATCGTTTGTCTATTTTGAAAGTTGTTTATGTTTAATTTGCTTTTATATTTGTTTTTTCTAAAAATGTTTATTTAACGTTTTAGAACATATCTAATACATATTCGTTTATATCTGTATAAACTAGTGAAAATTAACAATGATAAAATTGTGTTACTAGTCCTTAAGCTCCTAAAGCTTCACAGATTTAACTCTAAAATTTACTTTGTATTCAATTTAGTGCGTAACTTCGTCACTATTTAGAATAATAGGTAAAAGATAAGAAAAAAAAAGAAGAACCGAGTAAATAAATTTATAAACGAGTCAATAAATAAATTTATTAGTGAAAATAAATAAACGGAACACATATATATGTTTATTCGTTTATTAAATGAATATAAAAATATTCATTCTCGTTGATTTAATTTAATAAACAAACATAAATTAATATTATATAAATGATTTGCAAATAATTTATTAAAAAAAATATTTATTTACACACTTACTCCACCCCGTCCCTGAATCCTGGTCCCGCTTTTGCCCACAGCGTCCTAGACAACCTCATCTTATTCCTGCCTTTGATCAAATGCGCGCCTGCAGTGCTTCATTTCAATATCTACTGTCTGCATTTTCCCCCACCATTATCGTGTTTTGGTCCATTTTAATGAACCTTTTAAATGTACTAGACGTGATAATAAGATTAGTAATTTTGAAAAATTGGGATCAAAACGAACCTTTTAAAAGAAAAGCAAAAACAGGACAAACCGTTAAACCAACAGCATCATTATCAACAAGAAAACAAGTTATATAAATATATCAGTCCAGTCCCTATCTCAAAACTAGTGGGTCACTAGGAACATGTTCAACCGATAATGGAAAAGAAAAGAGAAAAAAAGGAAAAAGTAGGAAACTACTCTATGGCATATTGCTCAAGGTAAAGCAGAAACTGTACTAATAAGGAAAAAGGGCTGGGCAAAGTCGCCAAGCGCACAACATATTACATCTTATTTTTCGAAACAAAGAAAAGACATGCGTAGAGGGAGACGGCGGAACACAATTTTGGACTGGAAACCGCCTTGCACGGTGGTTGTTTAACAAAGGCAACGGTTGCGATCAATGCAGCTACATCGGAGCATGAATTAAGATCAATGCAGATGATTTTTAAGTACGCTCAGTGCTGTTCCCTGTGTTGATAATGCTCAGTTTGTAACTATCTTTTAAAGATTTTTAATTTTATGTTTAATAGAATTGGAAGTGACTATTTTGCCCTCACTATTTAGCCTATAAATAGTGTGCAATTTCATTCACTTAAACATCCCAAGCAAATATTTGCTCTAAAACACTCTTCCTCTTTTGAGTGTTTGTTTGAGTTGAGAGAAGAGCAGTATCATCCAAGGTCACTCCAGTTTTTGGGTGTACGAATTTTTAGAGAGCCGTGCTAACCTCAGGGGTTGTTCGTCCATTGTAGCGATTACACACATCGGGGTGAATTTACTTCTAAGGCAGTGAATTACCACGACATGGTTATTATTGTGATTATTTATTTTATTTAATATTTTTCAGGAAATGTTAACGTCTCGTTTTGCAGTAGTATATTTTTCTAACAATTTAGAAATAAATTCGAATTGTTGCATGATATTTGTAAAAGGAACGATGATGTTGGATTCGAGTTTGTGTGTAATTGTGAATTCAAATGTCGGTTCAACCTTGCATCAAAGTGATACGTAATATTTTGATACAAATTATTATTATCGTGGTGCGATGTAGCTTGATGCAATTGACGATGTCATGAATATTTTTGGTTTCAATGTTTTAATGATTGAATTATTAATATTTATGTACTTTTAATGTTTTAAAGATTAGTTGTTATTTGATGTAACATCATTCTTCATGATTTTAAGATGGAAATGCGTTAGGCACATTTGAAGTTTAAAGGATAACAATTTTATTATTAAATGACAGCTTTTAGATTGTGTTATAAGCATTTATGCATGATAATATGCTATCATGATTAATTTGGAACGCTGGTGTTTAGTGTGCATCGGATTATTTATGCATTTATGCATGATAATATGTTATCATGATTAATTGCCTTAGTTAATTCTTTATTATTTGTTTAAGAATTTTAAATGGTTGGTTCACGTACAATGAGTTGAGCTATGAGACCGTCAAACTATTGTTTCGACTTTTTAAAGTCTTGAAATATTTTTAAGGCATACTATAAAGTAAATCTATTAGATATATTTTGGTTTATTTATTATAAGATTTTTTTATATTAAATGATTTCTAATTATATGTGGAGAAGAGTAACTATTTACTTTCATGTTAGGGTAAGATTATTCAGTTTCTGAATATTAAGTTGAAAATAAATATCAACTATTTTATCATACTAATAATTTCTTTTGAGAAATTTATAAAGACAACAAAATGGTTGCAATTTTGGAGAATCAAGATGATGATGTTGAACAAGAAGATTCTTCAAACTGAATATTTGATAAATTTGAGTTTGATTTCTATAATCTCTTGAAGATAAGGAACCAAAATCCTAAAGATATGATCTTGTCACTATCAATAAATTATTTTCATTATTGTCAGTACATTAATTTCATGACTAACCATGTATATTCTTAATTTGACTTCAGATGATACAAAAGAGATGTTGGTTCAGATTAAGTGATTGTCACGATGGATTTTGGGGTCATGCTGATTAAAAAATGATGATGCAAAGAATGAAATTGTATGCATGGTGAGAATGAACAAGTCTATTTGGAATTTTGATTATACCTGCGAGGTCATATTATTTAGAATTGTTGTCTGTTAATTCATGCTTTTTAAATACATGAAATACATTGCATGAGCCTTTAAACTAGTCTTTAAAACTTAGTGGATACTATGAAATGAGATCAAACCACTAGGAAAGACTAAGGTAATACAACTAAGGATAAGATAATAGTGTTAGCCCAAAATATGTATGCTTAATAAAATACTATTGTGAGTAAAAGTATCAAGCATAATTCTTTAAAGAGACCTTAATTAAAAAAAGAGAAAATATATAAATATTTATTGAAAAGTGGTGTGATGAGTATGAAATTGCATATCTAGGATTGGTTCTATAAAAGTCCTGGTACTTAAGCGTGTCTAGTAAATCACCTCTTTCATTGAAACCTACCTAGTGCACAATTCATTACTATGATCACTATTTCAATTTTAAAAACTATACTATGACGAGATAAAAACTCTTAAAACTTAGTGCAGAAGTTAAAAGAGTAGAGAATAATTTGGTTGAGTGGAATACCAAAATTAATCATAGTAAATAAAATATGTGATGGTCTCTTTAAGGCTAATATGTTGAATATCATGTGTAATACCCCCAACCCGTATCCGACCCAGATAGAGTCTGAAGTGTCACATTGACTTTTCAACTTTGACACTTAAAGAAAACAGAGAAATTTTAAACTTTCATTAAAACAACATACGTTAATTTACATAAAAGAGACCACAAAATACAAAATTGATCAGAGCATTCGTAATTAACAACTTATTACATGCCAACACTCTATACACAACCAAAATACCTATTTTGTCAATTACTTCTGATATGATCTTTTAATAGTGATGATGTCCTTGCCACTTCTATTACTGCTCTTCTTGTTTCTTGGTACCTACGTGTAAATCACTTACACGCTAAGTCATAGACTTAGTGAGGCATAACATAAATATATGTATACACATGTATAACAATGAATTTATGAACATGCATTCTTATCATGGAGAGGAGGGGGTTGAAGCACCTAAGGGATGGCTCTACTGTATTAAAATCAATCGTGCTGATAAGCATAAAAATACAAAAACAAGGGCAAGTAAGTTCCAATCATAATTCATTAAATCAAAGACCATCAACACTGCTGCATCTGTGACAATACGGAAATGATGAGATTTTATGAGTAATTAGAAGGAAGAGTTTACCAAGGTTATCTTCAAGAGATGCATTGCACTCTTCTCGAGGAAACTGACAGTTTTCTGCTAAATTTACTGGAAAAAAATGAACGTGGCATGCTAATAATCAGTATAGAACTATCACGCTATATAAGCACTGTATCATACCAGTTTTTTAAACAAGCTAGTACATTTACCCTTTATAGATTCTACTGACATATACCAAGGTACATTTACCCTTTACAGCTCTGGGTCATACAAACTACATATGGACTTAGAAGAGAAATGAAGCGAAAGTTAAAGGCACCTCAACCAACCCAAAAGCCTACCTGTTTGCTGTGGTGGCAATATAACCATCGGCGAGCATGGGCTTGTTTTGACACTTGCAGCCTGCGAATGGCAAGGAATGGACCATGGTGTGGTCCGCTGATCAGCTAGAATTTCATGCGGAAGTGACACTGGGCTAGCTGCAAGTTGCAAGATTGCTTCAGCCTGCAAAACAATTGTATGATAAGACTTATATAGCGAGATAAGCCATAAAAATATCTGAACTGTGAAGAGAAGTGGAAGATATATGACCTTACAACTAGGCATATCATCATAGACATTCACTTTCCCACAGTAAAAGACGGTCATCTGTCCTGCTGACTCTTTTGCTGCTGCACCTGCAGTTCTGGACAGTTGGAAAATTCACCCTTAGAACTTCAATTGGCACCATCAACCAAGGAAAACCAGTAATATGATATATTCCTTAAAAGAAATGCTCAAGATAAGTCTATGTCAAGGCCCAGAAATTCACTCAAAAACAAGTAGCTCTAAATCTTTCAGGACTTGGTCATGCTTAGCTGAACTATGACCTCAAGTATATTTTAAAATAAAAAATAATCTGCACCAAACCAATAAGATACAATATTTTAATTAGAAAATCTAACATGAAATTAGGCTGGTTATTGAAGTAAAGAAGTCATGGAGTTAACCAGTAAAGCAATAAGTGCAATCTACTCAAAATATTTCACTACAGAAGTCAGAAAGTGACAGAAAACATTGACAGACACCACCTTCTGTGAGATGCCGTAATCTAAACTCATTCGATCAAGTGGTATCTTGATACTTGGGAAGAGGTAAATGATTCTTAAGAAAACTTTATGAAAGCATATATGTGACCACAAAATCAGCAATACCGGCAAATCTATTCACTGCATATCTAGGAGATAAAGCTTTGATCAAGTATATAGTCCTACAAGCCAAAATCACGAAAGCAAAGACAGGGAAAGCATACATTTCAGCTGCCTTTTGCCCTTTTCATATATACAAGAATCTGAAACCAGAAGCCATGCTAATTATAAAAGGACTAAGAAAGGGCAGAAATGTGACTACAGCACTACAAGACTTCAACTAATTGGATATTCCTGAAAGAAGTATTTAGTACCTCTATAGTTGGTATCCATCAAAGAAAACCATCAACAAGTAAAGAACCACACAACTTACTCCATATTTCTCCTAACTTAAATTTCATTCATTTTGATGGCAAGATTAATGGATTACTCCGAAAAACTAAATACATCAACAGTTGGTGCCACATCATCTGTGTCTATATGTTGACCCTACCACCCATTCAACTAATTTAAATGTTCATAGTTTTAGAGCATAACTAGGAGTTAACTCTAAAGGACCCTCCAGATCACAAGTCTAATAGTGGAAGGAAAAAAGGAAAAGAAAAACTTATAATTAGCATGCCGTCATCGTTGACTAGAAGATCTGGTCTTAATTGCAAGCACAAATTCGACCTTGGAAATTATGGAATGCCACAGAGACACCCGGGAACATGTGCAAAATTCACATTCCGTTACACTGAAACGCTAATTTAACCATTGGGCATCGACTCTAGCAACCGTCAATAACACGCTTGACTAACATTATGTTGGATCAAACTTCCTAAAGAATAGGAGAATTAAATGGCCTCAACCTCATTGAAGTCGGGTAATTCAGAAATAAAGCAATAGACTGCCACAAGAAGAGAACCTTGGAGAAACGGAATCATTTCTGGCGGCGACAGTTCGACCGGAAATATCACCGGAAAATTCAGATTTCAAGGGATTTGGACGGGAACAAGAAATGGATTCGTTGGCTTGAGCCAAGATCACGTCGTGCAGTGTCATTTCGTTCGGTAGAACGGTTGAATCAGAAACGGCCTGCGAAAATTTTATTTAATTAGATTAGTTTGACCAATAGAGAAAAGTTTCTAAACTATGTCTACTAACCAAGTAAAATTACCCGTGCCTTGGAATTTGAAATAAAATAACGTTAAACAAGACTAATTTATTGGGGGGGGGGGAAGAAATGCACGCACGCGAGGCGGGTACTGGGGGCAGGTAGTGTAAAGTTTCTTCCGAGCATCATCGGTGGCGTCGGAATCTGACGTCGTTTCGAGAAGATTTTTCAGCGAGATCACCTGCTGAATCGCCTGCGATTTGTTCCACGACGGTTTCCGCATTCCTACAAGCACAGAACAAGCCAAAAATAACAAAATTTAAATCAAAACATGCAAACACTTTTACACTAAAAACACAAAACATACACAAATAAAAGGAAGAAAAAAAAGATGCAGAGAGAGAGAGTGAAACCTTTCTCTTTGAGGTAACGGCGGCAATCTTCGCGAGTGACCTGAGAAATGTCATCCTCGGTAAGCTGGTTGAGAGGCTTATCTAGAGGTGACCGGGAAACCGTTTCTCCCAGTGACATGGCGTCCGATTTCCGGTTATCAGGAACCAGCTGCCGTCGGAGCTCCAATTTCTTCGCAGCGAGATCGATCAACGAAAGAAAAGGGGCTGAGGATAGGGATTTTTTTTTTGTACACTCTCCACTGATTTCAGTTACTAATATCGTAAATTGGGAAGTGCTCAAGGGTCTTTTTGACTTTTCAATATGAAGCCTAAGAGAAAGCGTGAATTTGAGACAAGCTTAGGTCTCCGCTCTGACGTCCTCTCAGCTCCACCTTTTTTTCTCTAAATTATTATATGCTTTCTTTTCTAGTTTATATTTTCATTTATTTATATCATGATTTATAAAATTGTTATTGCCACCCGGGACGCCACGTAACCCATCAGTTTTATCCAGATTACCATTATAACTTCAATTTTATTAGAAAATTTATATCTAAATATTGGAACAATGATAAAGCAACTTAGGACTGTTGGTACCTCAATTTAAATAGTAAATAATTTGATATTATTTAAATAAATATTGAATTTAAGGTTTATTGTATACAGAAATATTTTATTTAAATATTCATTTAATAAAAATTTCCAATTAGTGAATTTGGATTATTAGCAAAGAATTTGACGTTTATTAATGAAATTGCGAGTTTAATTTTTTTTATGAAAATTAATAATGAAATAATTGTATTTCTTATTTAAGAGTTGAATTTAAAGATAATAGTTTAGCTATATGAAAACAGCTATGGTGAAATTTAATAAAAATTGTCCGGAGTCAAGTTGGATTAGTTTAATAAGATTTTTAATTGATCTAACTTTAATTTGAGTATAGCATTTTTTTATTTTGTAATTCGATCTGATTCAAATTTAAGAAATTTTTATTCAACTTGAAATTTGATTTGACTTTTAAGGTTAAAATTGTATATCATCCTATATAAATATACATGCATATATTCAATTCTTTTTTTATTAGATAAAATGGGATCTAATTGAAAATAGATAGATAAATAGATAGATAGAAGGATATTATAATATTTTTTAAATATTTAATGATCAATTATACTAATATTTTTTGCATCGAATTGGGTTGGATGTTTTCACTCTAAATTCGAGTCAATCTTATCTTTCGAAAAACTTGATCCGACTCAATCCAAACCCAATTAAAAAAATTGACTATAAAATTAGGCTAAAACGTTTTAAATTCACGTCAAATACTCATCTCATACTCATCCTATAATTGTTATTATTCATTGAGGTCTGGATTCAAACACCATAAATGTTAGAGTTGTGAGTATTCAATGCCAAATAATTGGAAGTTATATTTAAACAGATATTGTCTTATAATTAACCTAATTTAATAAAAAAACATATAAATGTGTTGTCTTAAAAATCATCACTATCATTATAAATGTTAAATCCCTGGTTCTAATTAGTTTTATGTTAATTATTTTTAATATTATTATTGCAACCCACAAGTATAGTTATTTATAAATTATTTAAATATAACAAAAAAATTAATTAACTAATCATAAAAGAATTTAGGATTTTTATGGTCTATTTTTAAATTTTTACCTTTTTCATAATTATGTTTATATAATAAGAGTTAATTGCATTGGAGGTATTCAAATTATGACTAACATTTTAAGTTGATCATTAAGTTTTGAAATATTTTATATCGGTCCCTATATTATACATTTTATTCTAAATTGTTTCCTTATCTTTAAACATTTCATATCAGTTTTCAAACTATCAATATAATTTTCCTTTAATCATCTAATGAACGTGTTGTTAATTATACTAATTATAGAAGATCGTGAAAATTGAAATCATGACCTAAAAAATTAATATATTTTGAATGTTTTGAAAAATAAAATAAAATATCAATGGTTCAATTTCTATGACAATAAAAAATAGATCAAAATTTGTAATTAATAGAGTCAATGATACGTTAATAAAAAAAATAAAAAAAATATTAATTTAAAAATGATAAAAAATATTTTGAAATTTAAAGATTATATTTTTAAAAATATATATAATTATCTCGTACAATAATGAAATTGTAATTGTTGCATAATGAACAAGACAGATTAAGATATTAATTAGCACAATCGATTTATATATATTATTAAAAAAAGTACCTTAATTCACTTTTAACAGAACAGAATGCAAAATAAGAATAAAAATAAAAAAGTTGAGGGGCGGGGAGTGGAATCACGTGATGGGGCTGCAAAAAAAATGTGGTACGGATAATAAAGTGTGAGCCAAAGGAGGGCACGATATAAGCGAGGATGATGTGCCAGCCCTGTACCGCCACCTGTCAAACAACCCACGTGTCCAGTTACCCAAAGCAGAGGACCACGTCCTTTGTGTGCAAACCCCACTTTCACTATTTAATCCCCCCCGCCAAAGACCACTGCCCGCTACAGCCCTATCCCTGCAAGGGCCCACTTATCCGCTGTGTGAGACGACCACGTTTCATCTTCTTTTTCAATCCCTAAACGGCGGCTTCTATGTCCCTCGTGCCTGTGTGTAAATGAACCGAGTTTTAAATCATTTATATTTGGATCGTTTGTCTATTTTGAAAGTTGTTTATGTTTAATTTGCTTTTATATTGTTTTTTTTTCTAAAAATGTTTATTTAACGTTTTAGAACATATATAATACATATTCGTTTATATCTGTATAAACTAGTGAAAATTAACAATGATAAAATTGTGTTACTAGTCCTAAAGCTCCTAAAGCTTCACAGATTTAACTCTAAAATTTACTTTGTATTCAATTTAGTGCGTAACTTCGACAGGAAAGGTCAAGGAACATAAAGAATCGTGGTGGTGGAACAACGAAGTCCAAACTAAGGTGAAGACAAAGCAAACTTGCTTCAAGGAGTTTATACAATGCAATGAAGACGAAAAAAGATCGAGAGCTAAACAAATATATAAGGAGGCAAAGCGGGAAGCCAAGAAAACAGTGGCTAAATCGAATGATAAGGCATACGAGGAAATGTACAAGAGATTAGACACCAATGAAGGACAAAACAGAATCTTCAGGCTTGCAAAATCCAGAGAAAATAGGAAAAAGGATCTATGTATCATTAGGTTTATTAAGGACAACAATGGTGTTCTTTTAGTGAAAGATCATGATATTAAGAGGGTTTGGGATAGTTACTTCTTTGGCTTGTTTAATGAAAGCGCCTCTCCCGATATAGATAGTATCGTTGATGGGTCAACCGACCATCATACTACGGCCAATAACTGCACTACAAGTAGGATTGGGTTTGAGGAAGTCAAAATGGCTCTTCGAAAGATGGGGAGGGACAAAGCTATCGGTCCAGATCAAATTCCCATCATTGTGTGGTTAATCCTAGGAGAAGAGGGAGTTAAGTGGTTGACTGACATCTTTAATATTATTTTAGAGACTGCCAAGATGCCATAGGAGTGGAGAAAGTCTACGGTGATACCAATATATAAAAATAAAGGAGATCCCCAACGTTGTGGCAACTACAGAGGTATTAAACTACTCAACCATACCATGAAGCTATGGAAATGGTGATAAAGGCTAGGTTGAGACATGTTACTAGGGTTTCGGAAAACCAATTTAGCTTTATGCCAGGAAGGTCTAATACGGAGGCGATTTGTAACATCCTCAATACCGGGTTAATGATCAAATTGTAAAGTTTTAGAATTTGGTGACTAGGTTAGAACCATGGATTAGTTCAATGATTTATTTGGAAGTAAATCATAAAAGTTGTTAGTAATTATAAGATGAATTGAAGGGAGAAAGGGTCATTTGACAAGGAAGATTTTTATTGTCCTTATAAGATAAGGAAAATCATGTGGGAAGAGAGAAAAGGTTCCAGAGTTCTCTTCTCTTCTCTTCTTCATTCTTCATACGTGAAGGCTTGACTCAAAGGTGATTTCTTTGTTGTTGATTAATTATTGATTTTAAGGTTGGGTTATGATCATTAGATGATAATTAAGCTTAAGGAAAACTTAATTTGTTCTAAAACAACAAGATGAAAGATATATAAGAGATTAAAGAAAATGAGTTTTTAGATGAATTTCTGGAAAAGAGTTAATAAGTGAAATTTGAGAAGGAATTTGACTTGTCATCACTAAGAATAAGAAATATATGAAGTTAGAAAGAATTAATAACAAAGTTGATAGTTTAGTAAGATTCTTAAATTTTAAGAATCATGATGAGATATGGGAAGATAAAGATGGTTTACATGGATATAAGTTGGTTTAAGTAATGGTAGATGAATTTAATGACATAATAGGGGCTTAAAATATAAGAATTGAATGAAGAATTTATGATTTTTGGGCTTAAAATGCAAATTCTGGGCAAGGTGTATCGATGCATATTCAATGTGCATCGATGCATTCTTTAAAGAAGAAACATCGAATGTAATTGGTGCATCGATGCATAAGGAGTGCATTGATGCATCCCCTTAAAATGAAAACATCGAAGGTGATTTGTGTATCGATGCATGGGTAGTGCATCGATGCACATGTTAAAGAATGCATCGATGCACTTCAAGGGTAAATTGAAATAGACATTTCTTTTGGTCTAAGAAATGATAGATTAGAGTATATCAATGAGATACTGATATGTATTAATGTCTGATTATGTAGATATTGAACATGAACAAGTTCCAGAACGAGTATCAAGTTAAGATTCGATCGAAAGAGAGGAAATCATAAAAGTGGATTGGAACTTAGTGAGGCCAAGGTCAGTGCATATTCGATAGTATATGATAGATGATGGAAATAAGACTTGCGACAAGTCTATTTCCTATAGTGTTGCGTATGAATTTATGAATAGTAACTTGTGTTTAATATGAGTGTGTGTATGCTCGTTTATATGAATTAATTTGTTCTTGTATGTGCTATGTGAATATGAAAATGATCTATATACATATGTGATATATATGATATATCGGAACATATGTGAACAAGAGATGAAAATGATATACATGTTATATGAACACATGGAAAGTGTTATAAGATAAGTAACACATGAATATGAAATCATATGAACATTGATATGTACAAGTGAATATGTGACATGAATATACAGGAAAAGTTATATGAACTATGTGATAAAGGTATGGAAATGATGTGTCTATGAGATATAATAGGTGATTC